ATAATTTAATACTTACACTAGAGCCATGGGATATTGTGTGTGTTTGGTTCTCTCTTATTTGGGTATTGTGGGATGTTTCCTTTTCTATTAATGGATACATATTATTATCATTACAAGCGAGTTATTCCTTTTTTGTTGCTTTACTTTGCAGTTGCTTCTCTCTCTATTTTCCACTGATAGTATTTGTGTCCTGCATCCACTCTCTCTGTATCTCTCTCCTTTTCCCTATTTTCCGCACTTTTGGCATAGATCTGTGAACTCAAGTGACAAGGAAGACATAAAAACAAGAAAAGGAAGATCAATGATGTTAATGATGCGCTACGTGCTGTGTATCCTGGCTCTCCTGCTCTCCTGTGGGTGTGTGCACGTCCTCGCTGAAGAAGTGCCTGCCGCCGATCTTTCCGACCAAGTCCCTGATACGGAGAGTGAGACAAAGATTCTTCTTCAAGGTANGGCTTCAGATCGAAGAAAGAATGAGAACGCTGTACATCAGGTCTCCCGTGAACCCACAAATAGAGACGGCAGCATCCCATCAGTTAATTCCGTGATAAATGGACAACTACGATCTCCTCCACCATCCGCATCTCTTTCTGCGCAACCACAACAAGAGCTTCCCTCTGCCCAACAACCAGGTGCAGGTGGACCAGAGGCAGCTGGTAGACAGACCCCAGCACTTTCGGAAGATGCATCCACTAAAGGCAAACATGATGCTGAACAGGAACCACAGTCATTAGGGCAACCACAGGAAGACTCAAACATACATGATACACAAAGTGAAGAGACCAAAGCCTCAACAGGGCCAGCCGCTACTGAAAGAGAAGAGAGTTCTGATACTGCACCTCAGAATGCAGATCAGAATTCTTCAAACAATTCAGCCACACCGAATGCCACTGAATCTGGAACTGCAGAGAGTGAATCAACAAGTAACGCAAATGATGTGGAAAATACAGATACAACCACCACCACAACCACAACAACAACACTTCCACCTGAACTCACAAACAACAAGAAGGGTGATGCAGACAGCAGCAGCAGTAT